ATTCGGATCCTTCGAAGAGGGCAATGTTGTAATAAGTGTGCGTGTGTGTGATGTATGTCTTCCAACCCCACGTCTTTCTCCCTTTTATTTACTAGCTTTTGATGGTTAGTTTAAGGCATGTTTCAATTAGCATACTTATACTCACATGTTTGCATCATTCATCTGTATTGCATGCACTGGGCTCGGCGCATCATGCTAACTGCATTGTATTTCAATTCCAAGTGGAATACATGTTATCTGTTACATTTCATATGCCATGTTTAGAATAGCCGAGCCTACCCTAGTTGCATTTTTGCATGTGTTGCATTAGGCATCTTAACATGAACTAGGATCATGCATTGATTACTAACTAGTTTCTGTTTTCGCTTGGAGTACTCGGTAAGTATTTATGCTTTAGCATTCTTGCATGTGTGTGAGTGACTGCCATGATAGCATGCTTACCATGAGGCTATGTGCTTATGTGATATACCTGCCTGAATGCCTGTAGGTGAAGGTTGGGTTGCTTGAGTTGAAATAATTCATCGAAACCCGTGTTTTATCCTACTTGCGAGTAGCAAACTTCAATCCATTTTCGAAATAAACGGATATACGATACTTTGTTCCAACTTAGGCAATCCAGTCTATACTTGTTTTGCTATGCGCATCACATAGTAATTCTAGGCTAACAAACTGGAGTAAGAGCACATGTGTTTTCAAAAACTTGATATCATGGTTAGTAGAGGCCGATCTTTGATCGGGCGAGCGGGGGTTCTCATGAAGTGACCTTCCCTAATCGTTTCCAAGTTCCCGAGCCGAGGTAACTTTTGGTGATGACTGACACATGGGCTTAGGCACGAGTCAGGATTTCTTAAATTTTCCCAAAATAAAATATTTAGGTTGTAACTCTGTATCTGGCAAAGCAGTCCATGTTTGGCACTTCTTTCTAAAAATCAGTTTTTCAAAACGATTTGCCGAATTTGGACTCTTTGATGATTCATCGGTCTTGCATTGCACTCTGCAAGATTAGATACAGGACCGTGACAATTGAGTTCGAACTGTAGTAAGCCCAATGAACAAAACGGGATTCCCTCCCGGGACGTTCGGGGACGTCTACAACCCCCGCCTCCTAACGAGGATCGGGTTTCCCCGACCCCGGAAAAAACCTGATTTTTTTTTTAAAAAAAAAAATTTGTTCAACACAAGAACAAAAAAAAGAAAAGAAAAATGCTTTTAGTATGTTTCAATTCATCATCATCATCATCATCATCATCATCAACAACAACAATCATCAACTTAAAAAAAAAAATGAGAAAGGAAAAAAGATCTAAAAAAATCATCAACAACAGTCATGGATTCTCTCTCTAAAACTCTATTCTAATTCAGATCTAGATCTCACAGTTGGTGGTAGTGGAGATGACGGAGGAGGCGATCTATTCTGGATTTGGCTTTAGATTTGGATCCAAAGATAAAAGCCGCGAATGAGAGGTGTAAAAGCCATGGAGGATTGGCGATGGAGGAGGCGATTTCTGACACTTGGATGACTGCAGAACCATTGAGATCGTGAGAGAGTTGAGAGAGAGAGAGAGACAATGAGAGAGTTCAGAGAGAGAAGAACGAGAGAGTTGTGAGAGTGAGAAAGTTGAGAGAGTCAGAAAGTAAGAGAGTTGAGAGAGAAAAGAACAAGAGAGTGAGAGAGTTGAGAGAGAGATATATAATATAATATAATACAAATCTAAACACACACATGTATATAGGCGAGGATGTTTCGAGGAAATTTCGGAATGGGGCCGGGGCGGGGCCAGGGCCGAGGAAACCTATCATCGTCCCCGATCCGAAAATCATTGAGGATGTATTTTTCAATACTAGTCCTGGCTCTATGGAGAATAATTTTCAGAGAAAACCCTATTTATTGGGACAGGCTGTTCGGGTCCCCGTCAGGTCAGGTTCATATTAGCATCCCTAGTTGTCGAGCGTAGAAATATACATTTATATTAGTGTGGTTTTCTGGTGTTACGTTAGAGTGTTACATTAAAGCGGTACATTTCGGAAAAGTACACTAAGGAGTTTTTGTGTTACATTGATTGAAGTGTTACGTTTGAAAAAAAAATACACGAATGAATTTTTTTGGAATGTTACGTTATTACGTTTGAGAAAAGTATACTAAAGAGTTTTTTAGTATGTTATATTAGAGTATTACTTTTGGAAAAAGTACATTAAGAAATTTTTTAGTATTACATTGATTGGAGTGTTACGTTTGAGAAAAATACGTTAAGGAGTTTTTGTGGAATGTAACGTTGTTACGATTAAGAAAAGTATACTAAGAGATTTTTTTGAAATATTACATTTAATAATTTCAATATTATGAAAAATCTATATTTGTTCCTCAACACATAACACATGCATATTTATATTTAGCCCTTTATATAATTCACATTAGAATAAAACTTTTAGGTTCATTAAAATAAAAAATAGACCAAACAATTAAATTGGGTGAATTACACTTTGCTCTCTTAAAGTTTCACCCATCTCCTACTTTGGCCTTTTAAGTTTGATTTTTCCCACTTGGCCCTTTATGTTTACAATCCTTCCTACTTTGGTCCTTCACGTTTGCAATCCTTTCCACTTTGGTCCTTTAAGTTTGATTATTCTCACTTTGGCCCTTCATTTTGTAATCCTTCTCACTTTGACCCTTTATGTTTGCAATCCTTCTCACTTTACTCATAGACTAACTTCCATCCAAAAAAGTAACAGAATTTGCCACATCACTAATACATCAGCTCCATATGTGATGTAAAAAATTCACTAAAGATGCAAAAAATAAAAAATAGGAAACAAAAAAATTGAATTTTTTTTTTTAGTCTTTAGTGAACTTTTTTTTCAAATTTATTCATAAACATTATTACATTATAGATGCATCTAGATTAGATGCAGCTAAAAAAATAAAAACAAATTTAACTAAAAAAATAAAAAAGTTCACTAAAGACGAAAAAAAACGATAGTAAATTTTTCATTTCAGAATTGACAATACAGATGTTTGAGTTAGTATATTTTCATTTTTTTCGTATTTAGTAAACTTTTTTCGTATTTTAGTTAAATTTGTTTTTATTTTTTTAGCTGCATCTAATTTAGATGCATCTATAATGTTAGGTTTTTATTCTTGGCAATCCCGTTTGACAAAACTCCTTTCAGTTGTATTTAATTTCGCACTTTTTATTTCAGTGAGGCTATGAGAGTTTAAATGCGAATCCAACCCGAATTGTGCCTTGCAGAGAAGTTTGTGATGTTAATACTTTCAAAATTGCCACTTCGCTGATTATGACGGGGATCGAGCTGACCGGGGCAGCACCACGGCGGGGTCTAGGGGACAACGCCCCTTGGCGAGTCCGGGGCAGCACCACGGCGGGGTCGAGGGGCAGCGCCCCCGAAGTAAAATGCAAAATTGCATTCAAAGTTGCATGTCCGCCCTTGCTCCCTCGAGCGAAGGAGTCCTCGCTCGAGCGAAAACTGCGTCTGGCAAAAAACCTGAAAGAGATGAATGTGCGAGCGAAGCTTGCGTGGCTTGAGCGAAGCCACTTATGAAAAACACGCGTTTTTGGTTCCTCGCTTTAGCGAGAAAGTCTTCGCTCGAGCGAGCCTCGCAGTTCCAGATTTCTATAAGTACGGGTTTCTGTCAGATTTTAGGATTACTTCTTCAGATCTTAGGATTACTGCTCTAGATCTTCTTCTTGGGTTCTAGGGTTTATATCTGGGGATATTTTACTAGTTTTCTTTGATGTTTTGATTGAGTATTCAACTCATGGTTTAAAGAGTATACATCAAAGGATTATTTGTTTGTTCTACACAAAAGAGAGAGTTGTTCTTCGGTGGATTCTGAAGAATTCGAGCCTAAAGCTTTGGTGGATTCCGGGAGTGGCTCATCGTAAAGACAATTCCGAAGTGAAGACGGGGTTGGAAGAGGCACATAGAGGTTGGTCAATTCAGGCGTGGATTCGCTAGGTAATTGAGAGTATACCTGTGTAATTCCTTTATATCTTCTTAGTGGATTGTTTTGTGACTGTTGCCAGTGATTTTTTTTATCACAATTGGAGGTGTCCAATTGTGGTTTTTCCACGTAAAATCGTTATGTCGATTTGTCTTGATTGTTTGATTGAGATTGTTATATACTGCTTAAAATTGTTACATAATTGCAAATCAACATCTAGGGAATTTCTAGATTTTTCATATAATATAATAATGTTTATGAATAAATTTTTTTTAAAAAAATTCACTAAAGACAACAAAAAAAAAAAAAATTTGTTTTTTATTTTTTGTTTTTTACATTTTTAGCGAATTTGTTACATCACATGGAGCTGATGTGTTAGTGATGTAGCAGATTCTATTAGTTTTTTGAATAGAAGTTAGTTTAGAAATAAAGTAGGAAAGATTGCAAATATGAAAGACCAAAATGGGATGGATTGCAAATATAAAGGGCCAAAGTAAAAAAAATTAAATTTAAAGGGCTAAAGTGGGGATAATTGTAAACATAAAAGGCCAAACTGAAAAAAATTAACTTTAAAGAGTCAAAATAAGAAATAAGTGAAATTTTAAGGAACAAAGTGTAATTTACCCAATTAAATTCACCCTCGCCGGTAAAAGGAATCGAGACCACAAAAAGAAAGTATTAAAGTTAATCCGCTTCTCGAGACCGTCTGATTCATGATATCTATATTTGATCACGTGGTCATTCTGCACCATGCTTCTTTTTTTTTTATTATTATTTTTAAGGCCACATGCCTCTAAAACATATTTTATCAGTTTGCAACACATTCCTTCAGGCAAATCACTTCTAAATCCAAATCACTTCACATAATAGATATATATAGAGAGAGACCCATTTATAGACCCATTTATGTAAATTCCATATATTTATCTCACATTTGTATCTTATTCTGTAAATATTTTATATATAATTAATTACAAAGTTGAAATAGAAAATCCAATTGAGAAAGTTTAGGATTCCAATCCAGTAAGTGGAGAAAATCTGGAGGTGTCAATGAATTTATCATATATTAAAATGCTAAATAAGCATTAAAATGAAGGTTACAATCACTAACCATCTACAAAATACAACAAATGAACTTCAATTCCCATGCTTTTTCTTTTCTTTTCTTTTTTCACCTTAAACCCCAATTTAAGAAATTAAATGAACAAAAAAAAAAAAATGCCCACATTTCGGCATCAAAAAATTCCCCGTTAGAAAGCTCTTATTTTGTCAACACATTTACAAGCGCCAAAACCCATCTCCCCAGATGAAAAGAATCGCCGCAAGAGCTACAAATATTACATTTTACCTGTTTTCCCCCATCCTTGTCATTACTTTTTACAAAATCAAAACCAGTCTTTGAATCCCCATCCAACTGATCTTTAGTTTCTTCATCGGTGGTGAATTTTTTTTCAAAGGCGACAAGTCTCTGAATTCTGTTGTTTGAGCTGTTGCTTGGCTTCTTGTTGGGACCAGTAAGCATGGGCAGTTAGGACCCGATCCAAGAGCTCTTGGGGCACCGGCTCACCCCTCCTTTGCTGTGGGGATATTCTTGCCGTGTGCACCAGTGTTTTCCATTTGTCCTGCACAACCCCACGTCATGTGACCAGGCTTTTAATTAAAACAAAGCACACTTCTAATTCAAACAAAGTACATGTAATAAATATCAGATAAGCAACAAACTCATATATTTGCTTTCCAACCCAAGGCACTAAGAGCCACTAAAAGATTCATAGCTATGTATATTTTAGGAAATAAAAGGAAAAAAAAGTGGGTAATCCGTCATTTGGTAGGAAGGAACTAGGAAAATACAACTGTCAAAGTGAAATCGTGTAAAACTAGAATTCAAAAGATTCCTTAGAAGAGTTGTCATTATATAAGATAAAGACATAAAGACTATTCATTTGCCAATAACTCAAGCAACTGTTGTCTAGAACCATTTAAACTGCCAGCCCTTTTACATCAAATCTGTCCACTAGACTATTTTAAAATGTAAAAGAAAGAAAGACCTTAACATTTGAAGGGAATAAATTGAAAGTAACGACTAGTCTTGTTAAAGTGAAAGTCAGCAATAAAAATGCAAGGTGCAAAATCACTTCCTTACCTTGAGATCCACATAAGTTCGATGTTTTGCATTATCAAAAGCTCGCAGTTTAACCTCACGCCATCTGCAGAACAAACAAACGAACTATGGGTAAGAGAAAAAAAGAACAAAAGAGTTCAAAACAATCAGGTACAAGGTCACAAAAAGAGGGAATAAAAGCCGGCATGTTGAGACATGTCTGTTTAACAAATGAGGGTTAGGTTTCGCCTAACATACCTTCCTGTTCCAAGCTTCTCAACAGCTTGAACCAGTGCTTCCACTTCATAAACAGAGAAAGGTCGACGAATTCGACGCTGCACAGCATCAGATCGCTTGGATTTCCTCATGGGAACCACAGCCAGTGCCTCGACATTCATTGCTGGGACAGCAACCAATGCTCTAGAATGTGTTGGGCTTTTGGCTATTGACATGTCAGGAGGAGAGGGTGCCGAATCATGATCGCTTTCAATAAAGTTTCCCAAACTTGACAATGGAGGATCTGGTAAGGCATCAGCAGTTCTCTGTTGAACAACGTTATGTACTACACTAGGTGCAGGTGGGTACCTGACGACATAGCATTACATCTTATCAGCTCAGAAACAACTGACCTAACAAAAAAAAGTACGTGGTGCAGGAAGAACCCGAGACCTTGGATTCCAATTAAAATTTAAAACTACCCTTTAAAGCTCTGTACACTCAGGCTACCACATATCGTAAATCAAAGTGGGGGAAAAAATGAAAAAGGTGGCAGATCCACGAAGCAAAAAGATTAATGATCTAAATTACGTATAACACCAACATGGAAACAACTAAAAAGCTATGAGCTAACATTAAACTGAAGTCATGGTACATCTAAATTACCTTATTAGAGGCTGAGGTGTGTCACAAGCAAGTAGAAAGGGACGATCTTCATGACACAGAGATTGGGGAGCTTGCAAAGGGTTAGGCTCCAAGGAAAAACCTAAAGCATCAAGCTTATTATTGTGAGATATTCCAGTCTGCAGTAGAGTTTTGTTATCATCTCTAATCTTCTTCCCCTGAAGAAGTACACCAACTCGTAGTCCACCCCCAAGTATAGCAGTCACTGCGTCCATAACTGTTCTCTGCAGAACAACAAAGACGGAGTTCAGCGTGCTAAAAGCAGAATTCACTACGATGTTTGGGTTGAGGTAAAGAGAAGATATTTAAATCAAAATTAATGTTCATATATGGCATACCTTCAGTGAACCAACAGTTGCAGATTCTGGAATCTCAATAACAAGTTCTGGAACCTTGAAAGACTTGATCCTAAGCTTCACTGAATAAAAGGAAAGATATCTTCATGTAAGAACCTCTTCGAATGATAGACACCAATCAAGTCAAAAGTGTAAATATGAATCACACCATCAAAGGCTCTCATACCATGGGAATCCCTCGATTGGAAGGATGTGCGTTGACCTGCTACACAAGCCGCTATCCCAGAGGCTGCATGAGGAGTAAGGAATATTAACATAATATACTAAATCCCGGGGGAAAAATTAAAGAAAGAAGAGAAAAGAAAGGGATGGAAATAAACCTCCACGTGGTGTTGCACTTGAACCAGAAGCATCACAACTAAACCCCTTCCTGGGTGAACTAGATATTCCCTCACTACTAATTCCTTCAAAATTTGATACCGAGCTACGGTCATAAAGTCTCCTCTTTTTGAAAGGATAATCCCTTTGAGACCTTCGGCGTTTGTAACAAATCTTCCTATTATGGTAGACAGGCTTTATTTCTGAATCTGGAGACATAATCATAATGTTCAACTAAATAAGAGTCATAAAAATTAAAATCATGATGTATCCAGTTAAATTGAGAGGGAAACTAATACAATTAAATAATAAGCAATTACATACCAGCATTAAAATGTTCCTCATCCTTCAGTTTTGGAGTTACTTTCCAATATTTGGATGAGAAAAACTTCCTTATTCTTCGGTTGCCAATACATAGTGGTGACCTGAAGGTCTTTGTTGTGGTGCTAGGTTGAGAGCACCCAGAAGAGTTTTCATCATCATCTCTAATAACTAACTTTACATCATCCCGACATGCAGGGAAAGAACTACTAGGAATTTGATCAATGCATGAAGGTAACTTCACCCTATTGTTTACACTAACTAAAATAGGAGGTTTCCTATCCCTAACTGCCAGATCATCCGAACTGCAGATATCAGCCTTGGTAACATTTATTGCATTTCCAGTCTTTGGTGACTCTATTTTTATCTGTTTCTTATTTTCATTCCCTACTGTAAAATCACAAGACTCCTGGTACCCAGAGGAAGCTACTTCTAATTTGCTGGCAGAGCTTCCAAGTTGAATCTTGCTTTTTGACTTCTCAGAAGAACCAACCTTCTCCGAGCAATCAGAAGTTGTTATTACAGAGGCAAGTCCCCAACAATCATCAATATGAGCATGTGAAAATTCCTTTAAACTATGACGTAGAGCAGGAGCATGAGAAGCAAGCTCTAAAAAAGAAAAGCTCCTATCACAGCTTACTCGATCACAAGGTTCAGCCTTTGAAGGATTATCTTCATCCTTCTGCTCTTTCTTGAATGAATCTTTCACAATTGTGCACAGTTCTTTTCCAGTTAATGCATTACCAGAACTAGGAGAATTTTCTCCCTCCAACAATAACTTGCCAGCTACAGTAGCCAATAAGTCAAATGCGCACATTTGATTGTCATCAACATTCTTCCTAAATGGGACCCTCCTCTAAAACAAGAGAAGGAATTAAAATTAGAGGTCAAAAAGTAGAGCAGAAGAGGAAAAAATTAAAAGGGTTAATGGGCTATAATGGAAGTTATATTTACCCTAGCTGATCTGGTAGCTCGAGGTGTGGGAGGCACCTGATAACCATTAAATCCATAGTCTAGTCTCTTCTGCAACACCATATCTCAGAGATCATGCCAGAAACTCAGCAAATGCAAAACACAAGCATTACCAAATATCTTTCACGGTCCAAAAGAAGCCTGGACAAATGAACACCTGCCAATCACCTAAGCTCAGGCACTGCAAGAATTAGAAGAGATCCTGTCGACAAACAAAGATTACCAGTGAGGGTAATGATAGGGAAAGGGGAAGATTAAAATTAACTGGGGTCACGATAATGAGAAAAGACACGGTAGAATAGTATATTAGGATGGAAAGGCTTTATTGAATTGAGTATAATAACACACTCTATTTATTCATAACAAACAAAAGAACAATAAAGCAATTTCATAAACCACAAAATATATATATACACATATATGATTCAAAGCCCTTACATTCAAGTCAAAACAAAAAGGGAAAAATAAGTGTATACTCTATCAGATTGAAGTGCAAAGGAACACAGATTGAAATCAACCAAAGGGAAAAAAAAATGCAGAATTTAAAATGGCAAAATCCTGCAAGATACTCAAGTTCATGGAGAAAACAGAAAAAGTAACACAGCAACATTCACAATGTTCCCCACAAGCCCCACATCCCAGTACAAAAACAAATCAAAACTTAGGTAATCATATCCTTGCTATAATTTTCAGATTGCAGGAATTATTCGAAACTAATATTTTACCATTAAGATATCAAAATCCATTAATCAAATATTGCCAATGCCCTGATTGAAGAAGTTATTATGGTCAAAGAGAACAACACCTTGTAAAGTTATACAGCCATTTCAACGGCAAACCATCAAAGAGATGAACAGAAGAAAAAGTTGGAGTCTGAAGACCATTTAAAGCATAAAAACCCATATTCGATTCCAATAAAAGAAAACCTTGGAGTTTTATAAATGTCTATTCCAACTGTGAGGCATCATAAAATTCATCTTTTCCTTTTCTGTTCTAAACAGTAAAAAAAATCAAAAAAATTTTAAAAAAGGAAATTGTACAACAGGTCCACAATTCCAATTGCTACTTGCAGAGATACACTTCGAAACAGTTATAAGCTTTAATGGCCGTTCTAATCACAAAAAGTCAAAAGGTTAATCTTTTCTTTTGTTTTGGCAACAATCAAACGGAACATAAACAGATTTGGAGAAACATAACTGGAAATTGTCAAACTTTTCATTAATTCAAATGGCTATGTTTGCAAAAAGACACGGTCCCACCAGATCCGCATGATCTAACCAAATAGAAAAAGCAATCAGCACCAAATGTTTAAAAAACAAACATCACTTATCAGCTAAAGTGATAACCATAACAATAAACCATGATGATAATTGATGACGCATTCAAGGAAAACTTGCACCTTTGTGTGATTCAGCTCATGAAGGGAAACAAAAATTTCAGACCAACAGAATTCTCAAAATCTGTTTTCTACAGTCCTAAATCTCATCCCACAATATAATGAAAGAGTCGAAAAAATTCTGGCGCAAGAAAAAGGGAGGGAAAACATACATATAGAAAAACCCACACAAAACCCTGATAGAAGGGACCAAAACAATAATGTCGAAACAACACAGGTAATCATTTCAGACATCCTGCAAATGATATACTCTTTATGTATATAAGAGATCTAAAACCCCAGAAGCAGATCAACACGGAAAAACCTGGGACAGTTCAGATGATTTCGGAGGGAAAGGAAAAGAAAAGAAAAGAATGGATCTCAGTCATCTCTCTGCTTTTCAGGAAAAAAAAATCAAAAATTTGGATAGTGGTTCTGAAAACTTCACACCAAACTGCAGATCGAACCCATCAGAAACGGAAGGCAAGAAGGAAAACACAAATCCACGGCAGAAAAGCAACAGAACGACCAAATTCAGACGAAACCAGAAGAAAATAAAACAAAATTAATGCTTTCATTGGTTGCAAAGAAACGGACAGAAAATCGGAGAATCTCCACCATGGCATCCACATTAACCGCGGCATGTCATTAGATTCTAAATTTTCTCCCCCTTTCCTTCGGTTTTCCGGAAACCAAACACACTGTATAAAAAAAAAAAAACTGCAACTTCATCAAATTGCGAAACAGAACCGACGAGAAATTCCATAATCTCACCTCTTAGTATTTATCAAATCCTTTGTTTTCCCGAGAAAAACAAAACATTCAAGCGAATTTGAGTAGAATTTTAAGGAACATGTAAGATCGGAAAATTGTCTGAGAATTCAAAGGAACAGATCTCATCAGAACCAAAATTCGCAACGATCACGACACTTTCTCTCCTCCTTTTCTCTTTATCCCATTTTCGTCTCTTTTCTTTCTCGATAGACAAACAATGTTTCGGACGCTACCTTCAATTTTCTCTCTCCTCCCAATCTCTCTCTCTCTTCTTACAGAGATGGCAAAAACCCTCTGAAAACCACCCAACCTTTGCTTAAACCCCAGCTCTTATACAATTGACTCCTGTTACCGGATCCACCGGTAAAAACCCATAGCATTCCCGGCTACAGTAGGTTGCAAAAAACCACCTAAAGACCGGTTCTTCGCCACACGGTGACCCACACACGCTTACCATCCAGTTCTCATCGCGCCACGTGGAGGGATTTGGGATCGTGCGGCTATGGATGTTTGTCAGATCGAGAAAAACGTTGAGTCACGAAGAGAGGGGATTTCGTGTGGTAAGTCCCATTCGAACTTTTTTAATTTCCAAATATAGGGAAAAAAAATTTAAAGAATTAAAAGATTTGAAGCGTCACGCGCGGTTAGTAATAGCGCGTGTAGATGAGTAGCGTCAATTTGCAACCACATAAAAAAATAAACAAATAAAAATAAAAAGATTTATATATTTAAGTGGATAGGGAGATAATAATGGAAATGTGGCAACTAACATGCACCAAATTTGTGAGTTGGGCTTAAACTCTCACCTAACTAGTGCCAAATTACACATAGAAATGATTTGGTTGAGATTAAATTTCAAATTTATAATTGAAAAATATTATTGTGATTATTGAAAAAAAATTCTTAAGCGTAGTTTGGAATTGGTTTTTTAGTGATTTTTTAGTCTTTAATGAGGTTTCTTTTTAAAATTTTGATATTTTTAGATTATACTTGACTAAACAAATCATAAAGATAAAAATTAAAAAGATAAAAAAATAAAGACAAAAAACAAAAACAAAATATAGTTGGGTTTTTTTATTTAGTAAACTTCTTATTAAAAAAATTTAATATACTTCTACACTAATCGGACTAGAAAAAAAAAATTGATACAAATTTAAAAACAAAACGCTAAAACCAAAAAAGTTCATGAAAGAAAAATGTGATTTTTCTAATTGGATCCCAAACCACACCTTAATTTGACTCATAATAACATGGCATATTTTAATTTGTTACAAACTCAACCATATCAGAGTTAATTTTGTTGTCATATCGTTGTAAATGGATTTGAATATTTAAATTCAGAATTTCTAACCTTTCTGTTTGTAATTTATTTTCATTGTTAATTAGGTAGAATACATAAATATTTATCATAAGTGTGATTCAAAGGAAGATCCTAACTTTAAAGCTATATTTGGATCTAAAATTAGTGAATAAATGTTTATTTAAAAAATACATGATTTTTTGTTTGATATTTCAAGAATAATGAATATTATATATAAGTAATTTCATTTTTATTCCTTATTCAATCATAGATGCTATATTTTTTCGATGAAATAAATTACAAATGGTCTATCTTTCCCATTTCAATGGTCGACCTAGTTTTTGACATGAATGAAGAATTAAAAAATTTATATATTAAAGTTAATATATATATTGAACATTTTGCTAAAATTTTTGATGATCCATATATATATAATGAGAAACCTATTCATTCAATATGAGTTTGTTTACATGCCTAGCCAATTTTAGGTGCCATAGTAAGTGATTTATTAAGTTAGGATTGATATACTTTTTTTGGCCTTCAAATGAAAAAAAATATGCTAAGTTTACTAAAATAAAAGGAACAGGGAAAAAAAATGGAAAAATGAGGCACGACTGAAAATATAAATATTACATTCAGATTTTTATTTTATTGGCATTTTCTTGACAGTCTTAAGGGACGTTTGAGGGTGGATTTTTTATTTTTTCTTTTAGCAAAATACAAAATTAAAAGTGAGCAAAAAAGTAAAAATCCAATGTTATAATGTATTTAAAAACAGGCATAATTGCCTAAATAATGAGGAAATAAACGGGGGAAACATAGCCCCAACAAAAGGATAAATTAGGAAAGATAAAAATTTGAACGAAAAATCTATACAAATTTCAGTAAAAAATAAAAATAAAATTTGCAAAAAATGTACTTGAAAACCTGTATGAATTATTCAACGACTTTAAAATTTTAATAATGCTAGGAACACCATCTTGTATATATATATAAACAGTGTTAGTGACACATTTAAAGGTTTTTTTTTTTTTTTTTTTCTAAAAAAAGCTATATTAGCATGCATTTTTCATTTACATATAGAGTTCTATACAAATACAAACTTAATTTAAATCATTCTAACTTTACCTATTTTATATGGATTCTATTTAAAAAACACTACCTATTTTATATGGACTCTATTTGAGATTCCACATATTTTTTATCGTAAATTTAGAAAATCCACAAACACAATACCAATTTTATATTTTTCATCATAAATTCAGATAATTCACAAACCCAATACCAATTTTATATAGACTCTATTTGAGAAATATTTCTTACACAAAGTCAATTTAAGTTTAAGATAAATTACACTGACACCTCCTGAGGTCTCTGTTTAATACAGATTCCTCTATCACATTTAAAAAATTACATTTAAAATAACATATTTGTTCCTAGCCTTTATACATATAAAATAATAAAATAATGAAAAATTTATTGGAAAGTCCAATTTTGGAAACTTATGTACCATTTGGTCCCATGTGTTTAAATAGTTGATTGAGGGGTCCTTATTAAGTATAGTGTGTAACCAGTAAGTCCTTTTTTTCAAACGTGGATGGGTATTGGTTAGACAAATATATCCTCACTAGTTAATTGGGATTTTTTTTTTTTTTTTGAATGTGTGACAAATATGGTGTGATACTCTAATGTGGCAAGTATTAATGTGACACTTCAACGATAGGACAACGTGGCAGGTACGATGTGACACTCTAAAAATTTTACTCATTCTTAGTGAACTTTTTGCAAATGTGACAACGTGATATGTATAATGTGACACTCTAAAAAAAATAAAAACTTCTTAGTATATTTTTTTCAAATGTGACAACGTGACGAGTATGTTATGACACTATAAAAAAATTAAAAATTCCTTAGTGCACTTTTCCTAAACGTGACATGTGACACTCCAACGTAGCAAACCCAATTTGATTGAATTACTGCATGTCTTCATGTCACGTGCCAAAAAATAATTAGTAAGAAATTCACATCTCACACTGTGCGTGTTAAAAACAACTAAATTTTAAAAAGCTACTAGTGCGAACAACGTGACACACAAACACCCAATCACCTTCCCCGTACATAAAAACTCTTTAGTATACTTTTCCTAAACGTAACATGTGACACTCCAATGTAATAGATCCAATTTGATTGAATTACTACATGTCTTCATATCATGCGCCAAAAAACAATTAGTAAGGATTTCACGTCCCACAATGCATGTGTGTTAAAAAAACCAAATTCAAAAAAGCTACTAGTGTGCTTTTCGAATAGCGTGACACACAAACACCCCACAACTTTCCCCATATATAACCACGTCACTTGTCCTGTCACGACCCAAACCCGCCCCTATGGGTTTAGCACCGTAACAGCCAGTAATCCGAGATTATCGAAGGCCTTCTTAACAGTAAAACAATAATACAGAGTACAGGGGCTGGCGGAAGCCAAAATAGTAATTAAAAGATGTCCAATGAGCTGTGAAAATCTGTATGCAAAAAGACTCTTCATACATGTTCATATTCAGAAACAAAACAGTATATATATACATATACAATCATTCGGGTTAGGGACCAAATCCCTACCATAACAATACAGTACAAGTCTATATAGTCTATATAATACGGGGAGAGAAATGGGGGATCTAAAACTCCCCGAAGCAGCCCTGGCTTGGACACACATGGAACCTCGCAGTGAGGCACGATGGTTGGCTTGACAAAAAGGGAGTTCAACCCAACGCTCCTAGCTCCGATCCGGTGCCTAGACACCTACATATATATATAAACAGCAAGCTAAAGCCCAGTGAATAACATATGCGTAAAGAGGTTAAGAATGAATGTCCTTTCAGTATTGAAAACATTCATTTATTAGTATATCAGTCATTCAGTTTGTGGCTCGTATATCATGCCATAGCAGTTATTCAGAAACTATAATAGTCATATGTGGTACATCCAATAGCAAAACAGTACAGTAGGTCTTAACAGACCGAACAGTCAGTTGATGGCCATCATATCAGTAAACAGTAGTGGTTCCGAACATGGGAACTGACAGAGATCTCTGTGACAGTAGCAGTACAGTACAGTAACAGTAAATTGCTGTGGATGCCACGAATACAGTTTGCAAATAGGACAAGCATTCATTCAGTAAGAAATATCATTTCAAAAAGTAGTACAGTTGATCATTCAGAAAATATTCATGATTAAATATATCTTTACAACATTGTTACTCACAGAGTTCTGAGCTACAGATAAGCTAGTGCGCGTCCTCGGATGCCAACCCTACACAGTTACAGGATGAACACACACTAAGTCACATACTTGGGAATCAAAGACTTAGTCCCTACTTAGACTCGGTGTGGTTCTACATCAATATCCTCATTGAGATGCCTTAAACTAGGCCTAAGAATGCTTAGGATGGAATGAGGATGCAAAGATGCACTTTTAAATATTTTTCAAAATTTTGCTAAAACAGAAGGTCCCGCTCGAGCGTGGTTTTCTACGCTCGAGCGGACATGCAGAACAAAGGAGCTCCACTCGAGCGTGGTTTCCCCCGCTCGAGTGGATTGTAAAATCATGCAAAAGTACTGGATGCATGCAATTTACGCTCGACGGACGTTCGATCCCTGCTCGAGTGTGAGACACAAGTCCTCGCTCGAGCGTGCATTCCCTCGCTCGAGCGGACTATAAACACTTGCAAAGTACTGGATACACGCATTTCCCGCTCGAGCGTCACTTTCCCCGCTCAAGCGGACTGCATGAACTCAGAGTGTACGCTCGAGCGTGGAGTTCCTAGCTCGAGCGTGGGTCTAAAATCTGGAATTTCCAGATTGAACCTACAAGCTCAAAATCAACTTTTAAAGCATCAAAATCCGATCATTTTAGGCTAATTTTCTGGAAAACACTTTAAAACTCATAATATGACATGTTTCAAAGATCAATTTGCTAAATCAAAGCCCAAAGGTAAGTCAATTGAACACCATTTTCAAA